CGCCACGCAATGCCACTTCGCAGTCAACCCGTCGTAGACTCGCTCGCCGAAAGCCATAACCTTCTCCACCACCGCCGCCGCTGCCGCGCGCCGCGCCTCAGATCTTCGAGCCAAGATTATACCGGCGCGCGGAGTCGAGGAGCAGCGTGTGTGTCGCCACCGATGGAATGACCCCACCCCCCACCCCCTCCCCTCCCCTCTTTTAACTGAGCGTGAGCGCGCACAGAATGAACAGACACGCACACGGGGAACTTTAATTCTCTAATAACAAACAAATGCGCTGCTCAAGTGTTCTGCTGCGAGGTGTAAAACAAACAACGTTCACAAAACAGGCGCGCAGGTGGTTTCCTCTTTATTGCAGCAGATAATGTAGTCGCTCTCTCTCTCTCTTTCTCTCTGCTATGCATCAGTTAGGAGGCGATATCGCATCGGCACGCATGTTATGATGCAGCGAGCAGTGCACTGCTCGTTTGGGGGGACAGCGAGGCAGCCAGCCAGCAGACGGCTGAGGGCGGGGGCGAGGAGAAGAAGGGAAGGGAGGGGGAGGACAGCAGGTTGGGGGCACTGCCGCGCCGATCCGAGATAAGGGGACATGAGGCATCACGCCGGGCTGGTTCACGCCCCCGCGCGCCCGCCCCCGGGGGAGGGGAGAGGGGGAGGGGCAGGGGCAGGAGGCGACATCCATTGGCTGGACAAGGCGCACGTGACGCCCCAGGGGCGAGCAGCAGCAGCAGCAGCAGAGAGTGCTGTATGCGCGCGCGCCGCACCGGAACAGCCGGACAAAACAGATAAACGGAAAAAGGGAAATGACACACTGCCTGCCAGTGCTATGGTGGCGTGGCGTGGCGCAGCGGGACCAACAGCATCAGCCCGTGCGGACGTGGGCGTGCACTCACTCACACGAGCACGCGCGCGCGCACACACACACGCACGACACACACACAAACCACTCGCGGGTAGAATGATGGATACTATATACCCGCGTGTCACACTGTGTCGGTGTGCCCGGTCGAGCGGGCAGCGTGCTCGCGCGCGCGGTATTTGAGGCGAAAATAAATGACTTTGCAACATATTATACCAAAAGCGGACCGCGCGGCGGTGCCGGCATACGGAAAAGAGAGAGGGGGGGGTGAAGCGATGCTGGAAAGGGGATGCATTTACGTCTGATATTTATAGTAGGGCCGGGAAAAGCGGTATAGGAGCAGCATCGGGGAGGAGGGGGGGAGGGCGTCTGCCGTGTCTTCTATGTATTCGGACGTCTGTGATTTTGGTCGCAGTGTCCAGGATGAAGTATCTATGCGTATGTGTGCACGCTAAATGTATTTGTATGTTTTTGTGAAAATGTTCGCGCAAATTTAAACCTACGTTTTCTTTTGGACACAGTTGTGCGAAAAAGTGTGTCTGGTTTCGTAATTGTGTGTTTGTGAGTGTTGGATGTTTTGAGTCATATATTCCAGGACTCTAGCAGACGCGTCTCCAATAATGCGTTTTCCCGCTGGCGTCCACGAGGAGCAGCACCAGGACGTTGCGTGGGAGTCTGTCCCCCCTCCCCCACCAAAAAAAAGTGTGTTTTGTCGCCTCGCAGCGCGGTATGGCAGGCCGCCGCCCGTCAACAGCTTCACCACCACCGCCAGCAGCTTCACACCGCCGCGCTGCTGCGGAGGCGAAGGGGGGTCACGGGGGGACGCGCCGCGTGTGCACGTGTGAAGAGGGGCGGGGCGGCGAACGCCCGGAATGCGCCTCAATTTGTTTCACATTCTTGAACAACTCGGGGAGCAGCAGGCAAGAGGGCAGGACGATGCCCGAAATTCCGAACCCCGCCCCGCCGCCCGCCCCGCCCCTGCACCCTCGCGACAGCAGTCGTGTCACCCTTCGCCCAAACGCGCCTGCAGCGGCAGCGCGTCCCGCGCAACGCACCGCAGCCGCGCATTCCGCACAAAAATGTGTAACACATGATGTCATTTCCCGTTTCTCGGCTAATACTTTTATTTTTAAGAAATCGGAAATTTTTGGTCGATGAAACGATAACGTTAGGGGTTTAGAGATCAGCACGTTTCTCTGATAACGGATAATTGCCTGACATCGCGATTGGGAGAAAATTCACATTGAGTCAAATTTGACCTGAGCCGATTTCGATGACAATTATGCGCAATCATGTGGGTGCAATGGGCCGCACCCGAAATTTCGAGGTGTCTAACAATAACAGGGTTATTCTCGCGCAAAATCTTTGCCCACATCGCGATCTTGCGCATTTGCTGTTTTGATAGCCAAATTAAGGTTACGCGGGAGACAAATCGGGGTTGCACTAGGATTCCGACTACAAGAGTATCGCCTAAACTGTCAAGCGCTGTCCAGCGCGTCGCCATTGTGTCACAGACCGTCCAGCGTGCTCGACCTCCTCTCCCCGCCACCTCGGCGAGCCGCCCGCCCGCCCGAGTGCGAGAGAGAAGGATGCACGCGGCGGGAGGAGACAATGTCACTCATACAATGCACCTCCGCTCGCTCGGTGCATCTGTCATAAATCAGTTACCGGCCGGCCAGCTCGCCTCGCTCGTCCTCCCGGCCAAAACGTGGGGTATAGCGGTTTGGTATGCCGATTTATCGCCATTTTCGTTCAAATATTCAGCCTAAACTACTACTCCGATGAACATGCGTCGGACGGAAGTGCAATCTGGAAACTTTCCTCTACTTCCCAGTTTTTTAGTTTTTTAAATTGCCCCATCGGTAAGGCTGCCAGAGGTCGGCAAAGCAAGCTCTGCAAAATAGTCAGAAAAATGCAAACTTTTGGTCCAAATATTGGCCCATTGGGGTACAATCTTGATGATGTTTTCAAATGGGGAAGTAGATCTTAAAAAGTACTACAAGGCGCAAAAAACCGCAAGTCTGTAGCACACATAGTTTTATGGCAATATTTGAACGAAATTAACATTACCAGCATAGGGCGGCG